ATGAGGACTCCTTTTTCTTGACAACCTCTCCAACAGTTGCTAGTACCTGTCTTATTGATAATAGCTATTTTACAGGTGTGAGGTGGTATCATTGTAGTTTTGATGTGCATTTCCCTAATAGCTAGTGAAGTTGAGCATCTTTACATATATGATGTATGTCTTTACATAGACATACATGATGGCTGTTTGTATGACTTCTTGGAAGAGGTGTCTGTTCAGTTCCTCTGTCCACCTGTTAACTGGATTGTGTGTTTGTTTTGTGGTGAGTTTTTTATATTTTATATTTTTTGAATATTAACCCCTTGTTGGAGCTGTTGTTTGCAAATATCATCTCCCATTCTGTTAGTTGTCTTTTCATTTTGTCATTTCTTTTGCTGTGCAGAAGATTTTTAGTTTAATATCGTCCCATTCATTTACTTTTACCTTCACTTCCCTTGCTTTTGAGGTCAAATTCATAAAATGTTCTCTACAACCAAGGTCCATAAGTTTAATGCCTCTGTTTTCTTCTATGCAATTTATTGTTTCAGATCATATATTTAGGTCTTTGATCCATTCTGAAATAATTTTTGTACATGAGAACAAATTGTAATCCAGTTTCATCCTTTTGCATGTGACTTTCCAATTTTCCCAGTACCATTTATTGAAGAGGCTTTCTTTTCTCAACTGTGTGTTTTTGGCTCCTTTGTTAAAAATTATTTGCCCATATACATGTGGTTTTATTTCTGAGCTCTCAATTCCATTCCATTGATCTGTGTGTCTGTTTTTCTGCCAATACCATGCTGTTTTGATTATCATGGCACTGTAGTATAATTTGGAGTCAGGTAGTGTAATACTTCCGGATTTGTTATTTTTTCTCAGGATTGCTTTGGTTATTTGGGGTCTTATGTGGGTCCCTACAAATCTGATACTTTTTGTTCTATTTCTTCAAAAATAACATTGGGATTTTGATGGCATTACATTAAATCTATATATTGCTTTGGGTAACACGGGCATTTTAACTATGTTGGTTCTTCCAATCCATGAACAGGGAATATCTTTCCATTTCATTGTGCCTTTTTCAATCTCTTTTAATAATGCTTTGTAGTTTTCAGTATATAAGTCCTTCATACCCTTTGTTAAGTTTATTCCTAGGTAGTTTATTCTTTTGGTTGCAATTGCAAAAGGAATTTTTTTATTTCTGAAGCTTCATTGTTAGTATACAGGAAAGCAGTGGATTTTTGTCCATTGATTTTTCATCCTGCAACTTTACTATATTGTTTATTGTTTCTAATAGTTTTTTGGTGGAGTCTTTAAGGTTTTCTATATACAGAATCATGTCATTTGCAAAAAATTACACTTATACTTCTTCTTTCCCAATTTGGATGCCTTTTATTTCTTTGTCTTGCCTGATTGCTCTGGCTAGGAGTTCCAGAACTGTTAATGAGAGTGGGCATCCTTGTCTTGTTCCTGATTTCAGAGGAAAAGCTTTCAGATTTTCACCATTGAGTATGCTATTAGCTGAGAGTTTGTCATATATGGCCTTTATTATGTTGAGGTAGTTTCCATCTATACCCATTTTATTGAGTGTTTTAATTATAAATGGATGTTGTATCTTAAAACGCTTTTTACACATCTATTGATAGGGTCATACGGTTTTTCATTCTTTGTTTTGTTAATAGGGTGTATTGCATTGGTTGATTTGCATATGTTGAACCATCCCTATGCCCTGGAATGGACCCCATTTGATCATGGAGTATAATTTTTTTTGATGTATTGTTGTATTTGATTTGCTAGTATTTTGTTAGGATTTTTGCATCTGTATTCCTCAGAGATATTTGTCTGTATTTTTTTGTCTTTTCCTTGCCAGGTTTTGGTGTTAGGGTTATGTTGGCCTCATAAAATGTGTTAGGGAGTATTGCCTCTTCTTCAAATTTTTTGGAAGAATTTGAGAAAGATAGGTATCAAATCTTCTTTGACTCTTTGGTAAAATTCACTAGTGAAGCTATCTGGTCCTGGACTTTTATTTTTGGGGAGATTTTTTTATGATTGTTTCAATTTTGTCAATGTTAATCTGTGTTTCGACTTTCCAATTCTTCATGATTCAGTCTATTATTCTTATATTGCTCTTTCTGATGGAGTCAGATAGTTCTTGTAGAGTTATTTATTTTTTTATGCTCAAGTCTCTCTCTTTTTCCCTCAGCATCATTTTTAGATTTCTATCTTAGATATCACTAATCCTTTTCTCCATCTTGTCCGCTGTCTTTTCTATGCTTGCTAGTTCATTCTTGACTTCTTTTACTGAATTTTTCATCCACAGAATTCCTGTTTGGTTCTTTTTTAAAGTTTCAATCTTTTTGGTAAAGTACTCATTTTGTTCATTGATTTGTTTTCTGGGTATAGTAAATTACCTGTCTATTTTCTCACATCTTGTTGAGTTTTTTCAGAACTGCAATCTTGAATTCTTTATCATTTTTATCACATATTTCCATGTCTTTGAGTTTGTTTTCTGGAGATTTTTCATTTTCTTTCTGAGCCACCTCACTACTTTGGTCATTCATGGTATTTGATGGGCTCCTTCTCTGTCTAGGCATCTGTGTATGAGTTGCATTTCTCTAGCACATTAATACAAAGACATCTCATATTTTCCAGTGGGTGGCACTGAATCACATGGGGTTTTTTTTTTTTTTTTAGCTTGGTGAAATCCCAGTGCTGCAGCCAGAAGCTGCCATCAATGTAGCGGTGATGCATGGGGGTGGAATAGGCTGGGGGAACCGACTCGCTTCTTTGCTGTTTTGCCCTCCCTCTAATGGCAATCTCAGACCTCTGCAGTGTCTCCCCAGAGTGCTGACCCTGGGACTGGCCACAGAGTGCACTCTTTGCTCAGGAAAGAAAGTGATTCTGTAGTACCAGTTCTCAGGTTTGCAGATAATGTGCCCTTAAACCCACCACCAAGTGTGAAGGAAGGTGAGCTCTGGGAGGCTACGAGGTGTCAGGGCTCTGTGGCTTTGTTTCTCTGCCTGGAATGCCAACTGCCTGACAACCGCGGTCACACACCATCCTGTCCCCTTCCCTGGTCTCTGGGCTAAGCTGCAGTTTATACTATTCACTCCTGCGGGAATACCATCAAATCTCTTTGCTCCTACCAGCTGACGGAGCACCAGCCACCACTGGATCCCTCCCCTCTCCTGGCTACACTCTGCCCTGAGTTCCCAGCTGCAGGGCTGTGTCCATGGCTCATCTGAGCCCTTCTCCCCTCTCGCCTCCCCTTTTCTGAGCCCACTTGGCCACCTTCAGATGTTTCAGTGCGCGGATCTCTCAGGCTTGCTTGTGCATTGAGCTGGGACTACTTTGTTGAGGTACAGCTGTTCATACTGCTGAAACTTCAACAGGAAAGACCAAGAGAATCTCTTACATTGCCATTTCTCTGATGTGACCTGGGTGAAGTTTCTAAAATAGTTTGGATTATATGGTCCCTCTGCTTAGAAACTTTCATTGCATCTACTGCTTTGAAGATAGACTCTGAATGTCATCAGGGCTCTCTGGCCTCGTCCTACTCCTCAGCCATCCTCTCCTTGCTCCCTCTTTCACAGCCAGACTTTTTGGTCACAGCTACTCTGTCCTAATGTCTGTTTTATCCTTGGTAAAATTCTACTCACCTGTCAAGACCAAGTTCAAATATCACTTGCTCTGTGGGAACTCTCCTGGCCCTTTCCATGCTGAATGAACTCTTCCCTTCTCTGTGACTTCATGGTACCATATAAATATTTCTATCCTGGGACCTATAATACATTATTTGGCATATTTGTCTAAATGTTTGTCTCCCCCTCTATCCTTGTAGGCTAACTGAAAGCAGGGACCTTGTTTTTTTGTTTATGTAGCCTTGGAGTCAAGAAGATTGCATATCACAGGTTAGACATGTAATATATGTTTGTTAAAATAAATTGAGGGGAAAAACACTTCCAACTACATGTCAGAAGGCTCTGATTCTGAAATAAAGGACCAACAAGGAGAAGACGTGGTCTCCAGATTCATAGGAGATATACATACAGCTAATATAAAAGTTGCATGATTATCATTAGCATTTTTCTTTAACATTTGCACTGCATTATTTATAGAAATGGTACACATTAATGGTTTTTAAATGCACTGCCCTTAATGTTTTTCTATTGTTAGGGGAAGCTGTATGACTTGCATCAGTAATTTTTCTCTTTTGGCATCATAAAGACAAGTCATGCCATTTAAAATTGCAGTTCTGAATTTACTCAATGATATCAAAGTATAATCAATACAGTCTGAAAGATCCACCCAGAGGTAAGGTTTGAAAAATCAGAATTTAGTTTGCACAGAGCAATTGCTCTCCTTTGACTGGAATTCCTGCCAGCTTTCTGCACCTGCTTCCTGGCCCTGGGTTCAGGCTTGTGCGTATTTGGTGTTGTTAAAAAGATAGTCCAAGAGCGGTGGATGAGGAAACAGGGAAAGAACATTTGGAGTTCGTAACATCTCACTTCAGACATTCTACATAAATTAGCTGAGGCACACATCCAAAAGCCCCTGAGAGAGAGGTACAATCATTTCCAGTTTGGGAAAGGGGACGGAAGAGTTGAGAAACTTCAGTAACTCATTTGGAAAGTCATTGGGCCTCATAAACCAAGACTAGTGACAGAGGCAAAAGCTGAACTGAAACGCCCTGACTTATTCCAGTTCTAGGACTTAAACTGGCAGCTAAAACCCCCCTCTCTGATCTAGAAGAATTCAGCACTTGAGCCCTGTGGGTTGTGGGCAGGGACCAAGTCTCCACACCGTTGTTTCTATGCCACTCTAGGTCCTTCATTTTCCACAGTTCATTTTAGTTGGTATCAGTCCCCACACTAGGACAGGTTTAGAAGAAAAAGGATTTTCTGCTGTGTCATTAGCCTGTAGCTCTGGACACTTCACTGATTTTCTTCCACAACAGGTAAAATGTTTCTAAAACTAAAGGTGGAAAGGAAACAAAAGTATGTTAAAAGACAAGGCTAAACATATTTAAGAAATTAAAACAAATGATCATTTATTGTTTTTAATATGTAGTTAAATATGAACAGCAGTATTACACAAATTGTTCCCTTCTCCCCTTTCTAAAATCCCAAATTTGTTGACTTCAACTGAAACGGAAAAAAACAAAACAAAACATGATTTAATTCTGAAGATAGCATCCAATTGAGAGAACACAGGTAACATTTGGTCACCACCCGCTTCCCGGCCTTTACAGATGAATTATGTCACTATGGCAGTTGAGAGATAACACTGGCTTTCTTACAAAATTATTTACTAGGAAAAAAGAAGATTTCCCATGTACTGTAAGCAGAACCAGAAGAATTATAGAAAAACTTGATTTAAGAAGCTGTGTGAAGAAAACTTTAATGAATTATTGCAATCATAGGGATCTTTAGGTAAAAGAGAGATGGCTAATTAATGAACTGTAAGGAAATACATTCAAACTTAGATAATTATTCTTACAGTGAAAATAAGAAGCTTGCAGAAGTATATAGCATCTGAATTACTGAATTTAAACAGTGGGTTTCAATAAAGATCACACTTCTGCTATCAGACACCATTAGTGCAAATTCAGATACAATCATTTTTACATTTGCAGGTTCAGATACATCAAGCATGAGGTCACTGTGGAATATGCATACATTATTTTTTCATGAAAGAATGCAGCCTTGGAATGTCTCATTACCATGGCAAAGGAAACAAAAATGACGCCCAGACGACTGGAGTCAATTCAAAATGCTCAGTTTTCCAAGCCCTGTAGTAAATGAAGTTTTGGAAAACCTCCGAAAAATTCACCTTCACCTGAAAAACATTGTCCTTGACTTGAGGGACGGGGCTTTGGAAAACTGAGAAGCAGACTTGCACCGTGCTCTGCTCACCACACAGCCTTTCCTCTTGTTTGAGGCCGACTGGGTTTGAGGGTCACATTTCCCCGCAGTGTTCTCTCTCAGCAGCACCACAGTGGGCTTTGTGATTCGGACAAAGGGCACAATTATACCCACTTCGAAATGCATTTACAAATATTCTGTGTGCTGGTGCAACTGGCATAAAACACAGACAGCCCCCTGGGTGCCCAACTTTTCCTTTTACACTTCAACATTTCAAATTACTACAAGCAGAATTACCAGAAACAGTAGTAAATTCCTGGCATTGGGAGTTCCCATGATCCCAGCTGGCACGCAAAAAAGGCTTTCTTTTTCCCCCCTGAAAATAATGTACTTCCCAGGCACTATCCAAATGCCTCAAATGAGGCAAGTGAAAGATTTGTTTTGACCAACCTTTGAAAAGCCTTTCCGCTCTCAGCTAGGGCCCCGAGATTTAGTTATAATATATGCAAAATGCCCGTGTCTAAATGATTTTAACATTTCTTAGCAAGGGAAGCTCTGATTTCACGTAATGGTATTTGCAGAGTAGCCTGTTGGAGGACACTTAATTGGAGAATTTATCGCCCTGCTACAGAGACGACAATCTGAGTATGTTTTTTGTTTAAACGCCTTTAAAATGATCACTTAGGCTTGACTACAATAGTCCTTGAATCTGGGTCCTGAGATGGTCAAACTTCATAGAGATCCAGCTATGGGTCCATAGTTGAAAGTGCCCTTTCTTATCTTTTCCTCAGAAAAAATTACTTCTGTTTTTATTGTATTTTATTGCATGTGTGTGGTTGGCCCCTTCATAGTCTCTGGTATAAGGGAACCAAAGAACATGCCTTTTAAGTCACAGGAAGATAAATGAAAGTCTCTTTTTGGTCATTCCTGACTGTAAATAACCCAATTCCCTACAGCAAAGGCCTCAGCAATTTCGACTTGGTGCCATAGGAGAGGCACAGGCGATGGTGGCTGAGTTTTAGATTAATTGGGGCATCCTTTACTTTCTGTATGTCACGTTTCTAGCATTACTTGCAGGATCTGTGCTACAGTATCTGAATGACCTAGTTTGAGCTGATCCTAATTGAATATTTATTTGCACATTGCACTGAAGAAGTTGAAAACTCTGCTTGATAGCATATTTTGAGATCTATTTTTTCTTTGAATTATCCCCATCCACCCACTCCTATGTTTATATCTCTCTCCACATAGCAAACTTTTAAAATTAGTTTCATGCTATGTATCTATTCCATAGGCACAAAAGGTTTTTAGCTGCATGATGAATAAGTGATATAAATATATACTTTTTTGTAATGCTTGGGAAAAGAGAGACTATGTTTAAAAAATCAACATGTCACTATCTGCCATGTCAAATTTTTTTTACTGTATTTCATTAGGAGAATTTTTTTTTAGCAATTCTCAAATATTAATAAAACATTTAGAAATCAGAAAAAGATGAGTACCAGTATATGATTGGCATTATTTTTTCCAGCCTTTTATTCTGGATTTAAAGTAACATAAATCTTTCAGTGCAGACAGTGATCTGGAAATTAACAAGTATTAACATTGAGAAGCCAATGATAATGTATTTCATCAACTTCTATGGAGAATTGATTCCAGAAATTATGTAAATTTATTCTCATAATTACCATCTTCTTTGCAGTAATCATTGTGAGAACAGTGGGCACTAAATGGTTTAAAAGTTATGTGAGGCAATAATTAGGCAATTGTGTTACAATTTCAGTTGAAAATGAAGATCCACTTAATCAAAACGTTAGGTAACACCATATTGTCTGATATGACGGCAGCAGAGTAGAAACTTATATACATACTTGAGGGTCTCCTGGGTTATGGTTTTCTGACTCCGTGACTGTCTTAGGAGAGCTCACTCTGGTTGTGCTTGTCAATTTTCTATACCCTTAGACTCTGTAATCAAGGCTTTCAATTGTGTGTCCATACTAGCAACTTGTAGTCAATAATTACAAATGTTTTCAAAGTCTAGGTTGGTGTTTTAGCAAAGGAATAAAGGGAGACCTGATATTCGAGTTGGGGGTTTGTTGTCATTTGTGGGATTATTAAGAGTCTGTCTTTGTATAGTTTCACCAAGTATTTTAATTGGTGCAGAACAGACACAAGTATAAATGGATGGGATTCAGAGTTGTACACAGGAAATCACTGACCCTACAGGAAAACTGACATAAGGCACATCAAATTAGTAGGAACTTTGGCTTGATCTGAAGTTTCCAATTTTCAATTACTTGGGACAATCAAATACGTGGGTTTTTTAAAATGAGAAAGAGAAAGCTCATTCAGATAGACTTAAAATTCGAAACACCAAACTTCAACTTCTCTGCACATTTTGAAGGCAAAGATGAAGTAAAAAGATTTGTAGAGGTGTGAAGTGACCAAAAGAAAACCCCTCAAAGCAGAGTCTCTGAGATACTGTAGTTTTGTGACACCAAATCCACAAAGTGAAGAAAATATCACCACAGCAGCTGTTACAGCAGTAAACCTACTGCCAAACAGCCTTATCTCTAGCTACCAAAAAGTCAATCTCCGAGCTTCCAGAGATAACCAATCTTCCCATCTTCTCTCAAAAAGTTTGTAAAACCAAGAGTTGGAGAAATAGATAAGGATGATGTTGGATTGTGGCTGATTTAGTGATACTTTACAATCCTTTCTAATGCAAAGAGTTTATGATTCCAAGTCTTACTGTAAATAAAAACCTATGATAAAAATGTGAGAGGGGAAAGAGAAAATTTCCTTTCTTTCTCCTGATATATTTTGCACAAGAGCTAATCTAGCAGATTTCCCAATCCCACCCCAGAGGACATTAATTGTCACAACTGGAGTGTGTGTGTGTGTGTGTATGACAGAGAGAAAAGGAGAGAGGGAGAGAGCGAGAGAGAGCGAGCACTCCTGGCATATAGTCAATAGAAGCCCTGGAAACTTCCAAACAACCTACAATGCTCGGGATGACTTCCACCCCCACACCCCAACAAAGAGTATTGGGTCCCAAATTGTCAATAGTGCTGAGACTGAGAATGCCTGAGGCAGTCTAATAAATGACAAACAGCCACACACACCTAAAGTGCAAATGCCTCTTTGATACACTGGAGCTTCTGGAATATCTTAAAGATATGATGATAATTTGAGAAAGCGCAACAGAAATACTGGTGCAAGAAAGTGAACTATTATGTTTAGTCAGAAAGAATTCAGGTGGCCTGGATAATCCTCCTGGGTCTGGGATGACTTTGGATGAATAGCTCTTCTCATTAATGAAACTAAAGGATCATTTGAAACAGAGCAAACTGCACAGATGTGCGTGCAATGACGTACCATATTTCGCAAACATCCTTCAGGCAAATACTTGATAGTTCCTTATCTAAGTGGAATAGGAAATTGGAATTGGAAATTGGATAGAGTAATAATATTGATCATACTTACTTGCCAGATTGTGTTTGAGGATTTTACCATACTACAATGATCACTATTTGTATTTATTACTATATACCACAAGATGTTCAGTAAATATTTAAGTTGATTGAATGGTTGAATGAATAAACAAGTAAAGGAATGAATGAAAGTGCTCTTTAAAACATAAAGTGCTTCATAAACACAATGTAATATGAGTATATACGTAATAGGTAATGCCACAGACCTCATAATATTTGCTCAAAAAAACACCTTCTTAGGGCAAAAAGTTCAGACAGTTTAAAAAGCAAATAAAAATTAGGATTATATAAATGGTAAGGAAATCTGCTATGAATATCATTCATTTTCAGGAACACCGGGGAAGAAGTAAAACAAAGGCAGAAAATATTTAAATGGCAAAGGAGAAATAGTATTAACTTAGTCACAGGTTGGCGTGGAGGGGAAGGAACATGAGAAACCAAATAAAGACCCTGTAATAGCTAGAACTTGAGATCACAGGTTGTTATTAAAATGGCACCATTTTTAAGACAGCAACATGACAGAGGAAGATCGGCCCCCTGTTCTAAAGGACAGAGCAGGCAGTCATGCGGCAAGAAAGCTAACTTTCAGAGGACCCTTCTGAGCTGCTTAGTTGGCCTCCCATGCTGACAAAGGGGTGTAGGCAAGGAGAATCGCAACAAAAATAACCTGGCAGGGATTTCAAGTTCAACACCTAGTTCTGACAATGGGAAAATTACTTTTCTCTCCAGGCCTCAATTTTCTGACCTGGGAAATGAAAAAGTTGAATTAGATGACCACCTAGGATTCTGGCATACAGATGTGATGTCAAGGGATAGGAGGGGAAAAGCAAGAGCAATCCTTTGAAATTAGGAAAGCACATTGTAATAAAATATCTGAAAATGTCTGAAGAAATACAAAGCAAATGTTTCACAGGAGGAAGAAGCCACAGCAGCAGGATCTCTTTTTCAGTTAATTTTACTTAAATATTCATTTCTTAGCATGGAATAGAAGAAGTGTCTTGAACCACGGCATGGCTTCTAGCAAAACTTTTTCTCAAACATACAGGAGACCCTATGGGCATCACCAAATCTACCCTTCTTCAGGATGTGAAAATAACATACGATTTTTTATGTTGCCAAAAACTTAATAAATTATACTAATCCAAGAATATATATTATCTGCATGTTAGCATAATTTAAATTAATTTTATTACTTTTATACAGTCTTCATTTGCAAATTTTTACAATTTAAATTAAGTTCCATATGTTTATATTTTAATGTGACAGCCCCTTACATTTGTGTTACAGGGATAAAAGAAATACTTAAAAGTTACTTGTGTTAGAGGTGTTTCCTTCTAAAGAGATGCCTGCTGGTCAGCTCCTGGGCCTCCCTTTGCTGTGAAGAATAAATTGGAAAATCAGAAATTAGAGATGCTAAATGACTCTACATAATAAAGAACTGAGCCAGTTGAAGAATGAAGATTTTGGGGTGGGAGAGGGATTTTGGGGTGGGAGAGGACAGACAGTTGGGAGAGATGTTATGCAGAGGAAATAGTAAGAGAAAATATTGAGATGGGAATAAAGAATCTTAAGTAATTTTGCTGTGTGGTATTCTCCTTTGGCATTTTCTCAAGAAATGTATAGATCTGAAATTGTCTTCGAATGCTCTGTGGGCTGATGAACTTTTCTTCCTTTGAATGCACTTGTGCACCGGTACTGGACCAAAGCTGTGCTTTATTTGGGTGGCATTGACGTCAGGTTTTAAAAGCCTATACATCTGTACATTTAGTCAATCTGCATAATAATAATCTTGCAAGGAAGACAGGATAAAAGTATTTTTATTTTCTCAAATTGCAACTTGTGACTCACGAAGGTTAAAGTGATTTTGCCAAAAGAACATTATGGAGACTCAAAGCTGGGTCAGCTGGGTTGTGAGTTTTTCTCATTACTCCATCGTGCTTCTCTAAGATCAAAATGCTCAGATATAGCCAAGAACTACTAAATATTCTCTTTTTCCTCCTTTTCTTCAAAGGGGGGGGGGATAGAAAGGGAATATCTCTATAGCACCCACCACATGATAAAAATTTCTGTGATCATGGGGATGTTCTGTGTTGTCCAATATGGTAGCGACAAGCCAAGTGGCTAGTGAGCACTTGAATGTGGCTGTGACTGAAGAACCAAATGTTTATATAACGTTAATTAACTTACATTTAATAACCACATTTAGCTAGGGAACATAATATTGGACACCCTAGCTCTAGAAGCTACATGTGACAGATTAGCAAATGCTCTAGGTATCTCAAACTAAAATGATAACTGGGGGTTAATTGTGGGCTATTGTGTATCTTTAGTTTTCTATTTGTTAGTATATTTGGAAGTCCAAACCCTTCATAAACAAACCAACATTGTGGTCACTGCTATCTGGTTGGCTTAAGATATTTTTCTTGACTTTTAATACCTTTATCTAATCATTGAATATTATTTTTACAAATAACTAAGACGAAATACCTAACTTCCTGTATAGCACCATTTACCTGATTTCTCTGGAAGTGTGCATGTGCTCCTTTGCTATTTTTAATTTTTAAACTTGTTATTGTCTATGTTCATAGTTTATTAAGCAATGTACAGATGCACCCTTTCTAATACATAATACAAGTGCGGTTCAAAGCATCAGCAGCTATTGTGAATTCAGAAACTGTGTGTATGTTTGCTCTTCTTTTTCAATAAATAGGCACCAAGAACAAAACAGAGACATATAAAATAGAATGAAAGTTTCATGAAAAAAGGGATTCAGCCAGCCTTTCCCCTTACCACCAAAAGATTCATATAAACAGCAACTTCTCACCGCCTTGCACTTGTAGTTCTGTTAGGAAGCTTTCCCACACTTTGGCAGCCTCTTGCCTTCCAAAAAGTTGTATTTATTACTTGGTACTTTAGTTCACTGAACAATTCAGAGGGTTTTACGTTTTTCTACAAAAATGCCAATTCTTTTGAATCAAAAATGGAAGATGGGAGAGTATAAAGATAACATTACTATTTCAAAGAATTGTGTAAGAAGTTGGATATAGAGGCAGGATTTATATAATTGTCAATCAACTGCTATATTAGAAGCCATACCTACCACAAAAGCTAGTGAAAGAAGCATCATCTTATCCTAAAAGGAATCGTCTATGTGTCCGTTATGTCTTTGTAGAATACCAGTTGCACCAGTTACATTGGCAAGTCATTTGGTTATCGCTAGCTGATCAAACCCTACTCCACAAGAAACAAGTTGGGCTATTTCATATAAACCGAACGAAGCTACGGCAGAGAGATTGTCATCACATCCTTCAATCACCTTAATTGTCAATTTTGTGTGTGATTATTACCTAAGTAGGTTAGGAGAAAATTACCACCCTCATCAGGTACTTAAAAATATACAGCGAAATACATGTGATGGAAAATGGCACTAGTTTACATCAGACAGTTGTGCAGATAAATATGACACTGTTAGTGAACTGATGTCATTCAGTGCAGACACTGTGTACGAGAAGTTAAGCTGTTAGTAAAGTGCTGTTTGAGAGACCTCTGCTTCTTGACACCCGAATCTGCAAACGGTAGACACTGTGCCCCACGAAACCCAACAGCTTCTTGGCGCAGGATGCAAGTCTCATGGGTGAAGATGGTGATGAAACTGTACACACAGTACCTGAATTCTAAACTTTAGGAGCTCAGTATATATATTAACCACTTTCCTCCTCAGAGGGATGCCTTTTCTATCTTCGTTCAGGGGGGAATTTAAAAACCTGGATTTTCATTACCGGGCAAATGACAGCTCCATTTAAGGAGCTTTTGGCATCTGTTCGTCTGGCCAGGGAGGGAGGGGGTTGATGTGAGTGAAACGGTGGCTCGAAAAGGCAGGACAATGATCGGCACTGCAGCCAATTGAACCACTTTTGCTAAGTGACATAAAAATATTCTAATATTAAGGATTATTTTACAACTCTATGGAAGTATGCAGTAATGCACCTTGCATTTGTTTTGTCTTGATGACAAAAATGCACTCTTAGAGTCACAAGAGCCTGCCTTGTGTTAGTTATAAACAAAAATATATTTATATATATTTATGTAACTACTATGTGCTTTAAAGAAAATTACTGTATGATTCAGCAGGGTTCTTTCATTTTTTTTTTTATCACCAGGGATATGCTGACTTGAATGGCTTCTTAGAAAGGAATCGACAATGAAATGGGCCTTTAGTACTGAAATGGCAAAAAGTAAAAAAAATACCCATATACTTAGAATCCCGTAACATTTTTGTTTCAAAACATGATCAAGGAACTAGTCATCCTTTTGTTTCCTTCAGCCAAGAGCAACTGTGGCTTCATAGGACTTCACAGTTGGGAAATGGAGGCAACTCTTCGTAAAACAAATCAGAAGTTTTGTTCTGAGGAGCGAGAATGGAAAGCCTCAAGTGCTACGGCCTCTTTCCTGATCCTTAGCTAAGAGCCTAGCGATTCTGTCACAGCTCATAGAAAGGGCATTCATTAACAAGGAAGGGGGGAGCACAGGCCAAACCTCCTGTGCAGGGAAAAGATCCATCCTACAAAGTCATGAACTTGTTGCAACAGGTAGATCTAGACCAGAAAAACACAATTCTTTGGCCACACATCTGAAGAAAAGATAGAAAATCTCTCATTTTGTGTTTGTTTTTGTTCCTGCATGAGCTATTTTTCTCAGCAATCGCCACATTCATCATTGCTCTTTTGGGTGGAAGGGTTCAGGCTTTGGAACACAGTTATCTTTGAGACATCAGAGGAGAATATTTGAACCAAAGGTGTAGATCCCTTGTGAACTAAAGCTTTGTTATTAGTATGTTTGTTCTCGATCCCTTTGCAACCCTGCACCTAAGCCAATGGCACTGTAATCTTGTCGTAATTCTGATAAGTCCACAGGAGGTGTTCTGGGTGAACTATAGATGCCATCCCACTAGGGAATTCTATGTTCAGTGGTAAGTGGTATCTTGTATACATTTTAGTTTTTCTTTTACCCTTCCTGGGCTGGGCTTGTCCAAAAATCTTGTTCCCTTCAGGCTACAGCTGCTTAGGGCTCTTCTGTGTGTGTGTTTGTTTGTTTGTCTTAACAGTATAGGCAAAATTTTAGTCTTAACACCTGTAAGCCAGCACTGGTGCTGTTCTGTCCGAGAAATCTTAGCACTGCTCTGATACAATGAAACCTTCCTTCTCTCCCACTGGTTCAACTTCAGCGTAAGCAGGATGGCCAGAACCTCTTCGAAACTTCATCGCAGGCCATCTGCTTGGGCGTCTCTACAAGAGAAAATGAAAAAAGAATGAACACCAGGGTGATGATCGCATCAGAAGAAAAATATATTTGTCAAATGGTTTAGATTAACTTCTGAATTAAATTTAGTAGCATGTGATATTATCTCTTATGATCACCACAAAGTCCCATGCCTGAATTTCCACTATGGTGCCATCAGCAACTCTTAGGTGACAGGCATTTGCCATACCTGCCTCCACAGGATTGAGAGCTTCTCAAAGGTAAGCTTTATGCCTTATGCATATTTATATCTAAAAGATCCCATCAATACCCAAAAATAACTAGGCAAAAATGAACTGCAGTAAAAAACAAGTCTTCTTAATATGTAGCCGCTGACACTTTCTCTTCTCCAGAAGTCAATAATGGCATTACTTCATTTTATTTATGAATTCACTCAAAACACAGGGCCATAAAATTCTGCAGAGTACTTAGAAGTGTCCTTAAAATTAGGTGCCAGATTTTCTAGCAAATAAACTAAGGGGGGAACTACTTAATATCTTAAGAAATTATTTATTAAGCTAAGACTTCATATATATGACATTATGTGCTTGAAAATTAACAGATGTCATGCCCTGAAAACTGAATCCAGCATCAGGGGCCATGAACCATCCTGAACCTATGAACTAAATAATTGCCCATATAGACATTAGTCCTAAAATACAGGTTATTCATATTGACAAAAGAATGCATGTCTCCCCAGCACTCCATCCATCAAACAAACCTCCAGTGACTTACAAATAGAAATAAATTACTGTTACAGCACAGGAAACACTAAAATGCATTTCATGGTCACAATGACACTAGAAACTATTACCCATTTTTATTCGAGTGTCTGCAATTTTAGATTAAATAAGATAACACATATTGAAAGGAGTTTATAGTCCTAGTCCTGCCTGGAGTCAAGCAACACAACCAAGTCTTTGCTCTATCTAAAGAATTTTAGATAGAGCAAAGAAATTTCTATCTAAAGAATTTTAATGTGAAAAATGTTAGTTATCAGTGTAGTTCGTTATCAGCTGCATTTGGCAGCTTTCTAGATTTGTCAGTTACATTCCAGTGTCAATGATTAATGGCTATAGAATAATTTTCACATCAGGTAGGAATGAGGGTTAGCTCTACTTTCTGGAAAAATGGCAATCAAGGTAATTACATTCTGTCTTCTAATAATATTATGTGCTGTCCATGTAACATTATGTGGTCAGAATGCTTTATATGTTAGCTGATTAAGTCCCATGAGGTAAGTGGAACTGAATTATCCTATTTTCCAAAAGAACATTAAAGCTAAGGGAGAGTTAGGTAGCAAAATAGTGTGTCTTTGCTGGACTAAAAATCATCATCAATGGAAATATAGAAAGCATCTCTAGGCAGATGGACCTGAAGCTCGTGGTCACTCCTGTTTGCGGGAAAACACCTCTCTGCCACTGTACTCACTATTTATAACCCTACTCTGGTTCCTGTGGCTTCACAGATAGGCTTCTGAAGTCACAGCTGCCCTAGTCCTGCCTGGAGTCAAGCAACACAACCAAGTCTTTGCTCTGAATCCCCGCCTTTCCAAGGCCCACCCGGCCTATGACTCCAGCCGGGAAGTACAACCCTGTGAACTAGCGCTAGTGTCCAACCCAGATGAGGAGAATGACGCCTGTGAAAGTTATATTTTGTTAAGCTCCTAACGGCAGTTCATGCTTTGTACTAGGTGACTTACATATATGATCTCATTTGATATGCACAACTCAATCATCTACATTTTGCTCAAACTTGTAAAGCTAGCAATGGCAGAGCCAGCCAAGATTTAAAATGAGATCTATCTACTTTCAAAGTTAATTCTCCCCACCCTAGAACGTCATTCTTAAAATTCAGTGGTCTGTATATAGCTCATCTGAAATTTGTGAACATGGTTCTATTTTTATTTGTCTTAAAAATATAACGTTATCAACAACTTCAGTATTCTGTTAATAAGCCAGAGACACTAAGTTAATTATTCTCTGTCTTAGGTGAAAAGATTGTGGGATTAATGCCAATGTTTACCGCATACTTTGCGAGCTCATCACAGAAGTCCTCAAAATAAAGTGCAAAAATTTTGGACAGTGAAGCTCCCTCTGTTAACATAATACTAACTTTTATTTTCTGAATTAATTACATAGCCTTAAAATTTTTCTTTTGATTTTTTTTACTATTTGTTACCGAAAAAACCCACAGACATACCCCAACAACATTTAAAATTACTAAGGATCCTGCTACTCAGACATAATTTGCTTCAACTAAAAGTGCCTACCACTTATATGCATTTCTAGAGACATTAAATCAGTGCACATACTGTTGTTTTGTTTTTTTAAAAAATATGTTTTCACTGATTTTTAGAGAAAGGGGAAGTGGGGAGGGGGAGAAAGAGAGAGAGAAAAATGATGTGAGAGAGAAGCATCAGTCGGTAAGCACCTGACTGGGGGCTGAACCAGCGACCTTTCGGTGCCTGGGCCGATGCTTAACCAAATGAACCACACTGGCCAGGGGTGTACAGACTGTTTTAAGTGCTCCTTTTTTTCCATTTAAGTACACCCTAAAAAATCCATGAACTATCCCTCTACAAAATTATTTTAAATGTCTGTAGAGTATATAATGTGTAACTAAATGATTTATATAGTCGACTTGATATCTGAGGTAGTTTTCTAAATTTTTTGACAAATAATGTTACAATAAATATCTCTGCTGCTCACCTGATGAATATATTTCTCATTCATTCCTTTTATAAACTCTCAGAAGTGGAATTATTGGGGCAAAGAGAATGCACAGATTATGTGCAACACCGGAAATGTCTAGTGTGGTGCTAGATGTTGTGTTGAAGGACATACAACCAAAGAAAGGTATGGAACATAGTTTCTGGTTCTGATGGGAGATAAATTCCATTTCAGGGGAAAGGGATTTTCAATGTAGATTGGAAAGGTGAGGAAAATATGAGGAGGCAAAATTTGATATAGGTTTCAAATAAACACTCTAAAGTTGAACAAAATAGAACAGGTATATTCCAGCTACAAAATTATTCAACGTTACTGTTTTATTTTGCAAAACTGAAAAATTTATACTTACTCCTGCTGTTTTGCCTAGGTTAAAAGAAAAGACCTTTAGGATAATAATATCTTAAAATTCATAATGAACTCTAACAAATATCATACAACTGGGGTTTTAAAAATTTGGTCTGATTTTACATTCTTTTACATTTCCTAGATATCTCCATTTTAGCCCTAAAGATACCAAACAAAGAGTAATAACTTTACCAAAATTCTGCTTTCTTTCTAGAATACTTTCACTTATCACACAAATCAATTATACAATCTTAAATCACCTGATTTTTCTGGGCCTTTGTTTCTTCCCTTGTAAAACATTATCTAAGGGTTTGTCCTCTAAACTCATAAGATCTTTATGCCTGCTTGCCTGAGATAATTTTTAACTTTGTGGAAAAAAATCGTGATTTAAAAATTCCTCTGTATGGTAGCTCTTCAGATCATTGTCCCTCCTGCCTCTCCACGAACATTTGGGATTTCTAAATTTAAGAGAAATTTATAGTCTTAACTGAAATTGCTTTTCTATGTTGATCTTCAGGTGTTCAAAGCTTTCCTTATAAGTGAAAATCATGGGGGCAGTTCTCTGACCGTGAGGGAATGACTGAATAGTTGGTTCTCACAGGAAAATCTTTAATGTTGATGCTATAATGTGAGGCATCTGTCCAGCGGACAAAGGGGCCTAGAAACCTGGTGTCTAGCTCTGCCAAAGAGTGTTGTGGTCACAATCCGACACTTATATGTCTTTCTCAAGGCTTAGACATGTCCAAATCTGCCTTCTTTTTAGAAGAGCTAATTCACATTACCACAGAAACTGACAAGGGAAACAGGACCACGTTCTAACAGAGCAGAGTATGCTGAAATTGAAAAATCCAAATCAGAATGTAGTGTAGTTCATTACAGAAATTCAGGAAGTAATGCCTTAAACCATGAATGGGTATAATGCGTGGGTGATCTCTAATTTCAGGTCCAAGAATTATTTCTGTGATTAATCACATTCAGAAGTCAGTGTTCACATTGGTAGGTCAGCTGGGGTGGGCTGCACAGTCAGGTAGTCTCCCTAATTGCTCCTTCAGCGCTATTAATGGAACAGCCATCCAGATCTGCCTCAATGGTCTGTGGTAAGATAATGAGCTGAAATATCCATAAACAAACCTGCAGGGTAGCCTCAGTGAGCAGTGTACACAAAGCTGCTGCTGGAGACTTCTCTTCAAGCTCAGACAGCAAAGTGCAATGTCCTTTTAGTTGGGTTAGATGAGTTTTGAAAGGAAGTTACTAGGCATGAGTGCGAAAGAAAAGGGACCAATTTTGAAATTCAAGGCCCACTTGGAAGACGCCTGTGGCGCATGATGGCGCTGGACAAGCAGTTGGCTGGACATTTATGGTGTTTTGTGCTGCTTTCTCCAATGAACAGTGGGGTAGGAGCAAGAAGCTGGGATCGGGAGACTCACACAGCATCTGTCAGTTCCCAGCACAGGGCTTAGGCAGGGCCACATGTTTTCTTTGTTACTCAGTTTCCCCATTTGGAAAATGAAGTAAACCGCATTATTGTTTTTCAACTTCTTTTCTTTTTAAATTGAAAAAATGTTTGTCACAGACCCTTTGTTCCAATGCAATCTAAACAGGATTGCACAGAGTAGGTCTCCCTCCATTGTGAGGGAGGGACTCCTGCTTACACACTCTCCCTGAGCCTTGAGGGAGCCTGGGGATCCTATTCCAACTTAGAGCATGTTTTTGGAAACTACAGAACTAAATCTGCGTTTCTCAAGCTTGACTGTGGGTACAAATCACAAGGGATCTTGTTAAAAGGCACGTGCTGATTCATTAGGTCTGCGGGGAGGGTGGGACTCTGCATTTCAAACAAGGTCCCCTGCTGCTGCTGCGGTTCACACTACACACTTTGAACAGCAAGGGTGATGGCTGTCTAAGGTCTC